TTTTTTTTCTACTCCACAAAGAAGACATGAAGGTTCTGAAAATTTTTCTTCAGTTATCAAGTTTAGATAATTTCTTTTTAAATTATATCCCATCAATACCAAATAACTCACCAAACATTTCAAATGATTCAAATAATGAGCTAATGTGTTCAATTCTTTGCAATTTAATAATTTCTTGATCCAAATGTTTTGCTAAAATAGACAACGGATGTATATCTTTATCAGTTAAATTTTGAACCAAACCAGTAAACTTATTTAAATCAATACCATCCATATCATTACTAGATTTGAACAATTCAATATTCGACCTATAATTAAGAACAAAGTCTTCTTCATCATAAATTAGTGGATTATATTTAAAGTCTTTGATAAGTAAATCTGGAGTTAAATCTAAAGCATACAGCATAGCTTGATATTGAATTAGTTGTAGATGTTTGATGTTGTTGATACAATTTAATCTTGGAAGCTGACATATTAAACAAATATCATCATGATTGTCATTTTTGATTGTTGTTAAACTTGAATTAATGATTAAAATATCTGCATATCTATCAACATTGATCCAAGGAAATTTACTAAAAGTGTTTTTGATGTTATCCCAACCATTAATTTTTCTCATTGATACATATACATTGTTAAATAGACTTAATTTAGCAGCCATGACTTTATTGACATCTGGTAATTTTTCATTATATAATCTTGATATTTGTGAATTACCAACAGATCTGAGCAGATGAAATTCATCCAAATCAACTAAATTTAAAGTACACTTTTTTTTTTCAACATTTGTTTTATCATAACTTTCCAGATATCTAATATTATAAAATTTACAGATTTGTTGATAAACTGAGGATTTAGTATCAATAGCATTATTAATGAATTTTTATATAAACATGAGTAAATTGTACATGAACCTCTCAACCTACCAATAATTTGAATTATATCTCTAATAATTGGAAGATACCTATTGAATATGATGAATTTAATGTTTTCAATGCTTATGCCATGATATATTATTTGATTTGAATTAATATTCTGAGCAATATGATTACTATAGTATACACTATGAGATTGTTTCAATAAATCCAAATACTTTGAAAACATTTCCAATTCCACTCTTGAATTAAATAATATTAAAATTTTGAAATTTGTATTCAGGTTTTTAGTATTAAAAGAAGCAACTTTATTTCTTGTATATTCGATGATATCTTCACCAGTTATAATATATTTTAAGTTAAAAGCAACATTCTGAAATGGAAAATCTGTAATGTAGTTGATGGTTTGGGTTGATGAATTGAATACTGTGTTTAATCTATTAATTGAAGATGTTGTTGGTGTAGCAGACAAATATATCGTTTTCCAAAAATTATTAAAAAAACTAAATTTAATTTCTCTTAAATTTTGCAACTCAAACTCAGCATCAATAAGATGACATTCATTAAAAACACAAAGAGTGAGAGTAAACTGGGTTGATAAAGATTAAGTTTCTTGAAAAACCTGTTCTTGTTAATTTGATTTTGAAAAAAACTAAAGTAAACCTCTTAAGAATTACTAAAGAAGTAGCAGAATACTTACGAATAAGAGCAGTAGAATAAAACGTGAGGATTTTGAGTTAGATTAAGATGCTTGGTTGACGATTGTTGGGTATTTAAAAAATATTTAATTGTGATGTCGAGTAAAGGGTGATATGTGTTCGTTCTCTTTGAGGTTACTTATCTTTATATTTTCCCCTTGTGCTGAGGGAGAGGTTTTCTATGGAGATCAGTAAGTATTTTAATTTGATAGTTGACTGTGGTAGATTACCCTGGTAGATGACCTTGATAGCTGATTATTGTAATTGACTTATCAGGTAAGTAAAGTTTCCTGATTCTTACTTGGTCTTACGACTATTATCTAGACTATGTTGACTATGTTTTATTTCGTGGAGAAATTAAGGTACCTAAGTATTTAATGTTGTTAAAATTTTTGTTCTCTTGAAAAGTATAAACTGTTGCTTTGAAACGTCGACTAATAGAGGAGAGAAGTTTTTGAGTCTTTTATCTGCGTCTGATGTCTAGTGATAAAATTTATTGAAACTAAAAGTTTTAGAGTGTAAACCGATTAATAATGATAAAATTTATCTGGATGAATATTTGTTAGTGGAAAGTAAATTAGATTTGAAGCTTTTGACAGAGTAAGGATTTGGTTGATAATGGTTGAGGTACTTGAAAAGTATATGATTAAGTTGAATGAAGAAAGAAAAGTTGAGAAAAAAGTCGATGATGGTAGTTCTCTTGGAATCTAATTGGAAAAGTAATTAGTGGTAAGAAAAGTAGGGGTATATGTGATGATTCTGGGGAAGAATAAAATACTTGATTTGGAGGGTTGAAAGTACTTGAATGTGTATGTTGTAGGTAAAAAACTGTTGAAGGAAAAAAAGTTGATGAAAAATACTCCTTGGTAAATGTTAAGTAATAAGTAAAGTAGAATTGAATGAGGTGTTCTAAGAGGAGAATAGAATAATTAATATATGAGAGTTATGGACTTGAAAGTATCTGAATGTGGAGTTGGGAAGTGATAATTTGTGAACGTCTTCGAAATTACTTATCCTTATTATTCTATTGTACTTCGTCTTCGGGAGAAGAAGTTTTCTGATGAGATATGTAAGATTTAAGACTATGTTAGTTGAATTTAGTGAACTTCGTTAGTTGATTTTGGTAGTTGACTTTAGCCGATTTTGATACTTTACTTTGATAATTGATTTGGGGTGATTTCGATATTTTACTTTGTTAGTTGACTTTATTAGTCGAGTTGACTTTATTAGTTAAATTTGTTTGATAGTTTACTTTTTTAAATGACTATCTTGGTTGACTTTATCGATTTTGATAGTTAACTTTGATGACTGTAATGGTGTGCGATAGTTTGCTTTCTTAAACGAACTCGATAGTTTACTTCGATATTTTACTTTGTTGACTTTTCTAGTCGAGGTTATTTTGATAGTGTACTTTCTTAGATGATCTTGATAGTTGTCTTAATTTAGTTGAGTTTGATACTTTATTTTGATAGTTTATTCTGACCTTGATAGTTGTCTTTTCTAAAGATTAGTTTTTTTCTTTCGACTTTAAAACGAGAATACTGTATATCAGATTAGAAAGTGTAACTGTATTATTAAATAAGTAGTTAGGGAGGTTTAAGTACTAGTTATAGAATAGTAATAGAAACAGTAGAAAGAGGTACTGAAACTACTAAGTAAACTAGTTACTCTGATTATTATAGTTGATAATAGTTATCTGAATGACTTTGAGTTGTGAACTAACAGTTATAGTACTTTTTTATATTTTCTTTATATTAATAGAATTTGGTATTATAACTATATGAAAATTAGGTAAACTTAGAAATTCTAGTAAAAAAAGAAGTATAGTAATAAAGTGATATATAGGATAAATTATTATACTACATAAGAATAGAATCTATGATAGAGTGCATTTGAGGTTGGTAGATACTTAATTTATTTAGTTTTGATAAAAAAAGTATAGTAAAGTGTGTTATTTTGGTATATTATTGTATTATTATATATTATTAGTTAAGTATAAGATAAATACGACGAGATCTTCGTAAATTTTATTTTTCATCGAATCTAGTGTGGAGTTGAAAATAGTATAACTACTATTTCTAAGCGATTACTTATCTTTAAAATTTGTTATTGTAATTTTACCACTATGAGAGAGGTTTTCTGTTGTAAGTTAAATACTATTAACTTTGATAGTTGACTTTTTTGACCTTGAAAGTTGACTTCAGTTGACTTTAGTAGTTGATATTGATAGTTGACTTGAGTTGACTGTAGTTGATTTTGATAGTTTACTTTCTTTACTATGAAATTTTGTTTGAAAGTTGACTTAGTCTGATAGTTTACTTTGGTGGTTGACTTTAGTTGACTTCTTTGTTAATTTTAGTAGTTGAGTTTGTTGGATTTAATAAGCGACTTTGTTGAAATTAATATTTGATTTTGTTGATTTTGATAGTTGATTTCGTCTGATAGTTTACTTTCTTAGTTGATTTTACTAGTCGACTTTGATAGTTTACCTTGAAAGTTGACTTGAGTAGTTGAGATAGTTGACTTGATTGTTAGTTTACTTTCGTAGTTTACTTTGATAGTTGAGTTTAAGAGTTTACTTTGATAGTTTATTCTGACTGTTGACTACGATCTTTGATAGTTTAATTTTATAGTTGAGTTTGGTTGATAATCGTATTTGTTGATTGTCTTTGAGAATTGAATTTGATAGTTGACTTTGATAGTTGAAATCTATAGTTTACCGTGCTTCTTGACTTTAGTTGACTTTTCCTGATCTTGATGGACGACTTTGTTTGATACTTTACTTTTGTTTACTCTATTGGTCGAGTTTATCTTGATAGTTTATTTTCTTAGTTACTTTCTTAGTTGACTTTGGCCCACTTTAGTAGTATACTTTCTTAGTTGATTTTGATAATTACGTTAACTATGTCGGTTAACTTTAGTAGTAAACTTAGTTGACTCTAGTTGATTTTGTTAGATGTATTTGATAGTTTACTTTAATAGTTAACTTTGATGACTTGAGTTGACGTTGATAGTTTACTTGATCTTTGACTTTACTAAGAGTTTACTAGTTGACTTTGTTTGATAGTTTACTTTCTTAGTTGACCTGATATAGTTGAATTATAATAGTTAACTTTGTTTGATAGTTGTGTTTTTTGATTGACTTTAGTAGTTGACTTTGATAGTTGACTTCCTAGTCGACTTTGCTTGAAAAATGACTTTGGTAGTTGACTTTATTGGTCGATTTTGATAGTTGACTTTAATAGTTTATATCCTTCGTGAGTTTGATAGTTTACTTTCTTAGTTTTGATAGTTTAATTTGATGACTTTGATTCTTACTTTGTTTGATAGTTGAGTTTGTGAATCGACTTTGATAGTTGACTTTGATAATTTAATTTCTAAGTTTAATTTGTTAGTATACTTTGTCAGTATGATTTGTTAGGTAACTTTGATAGTTTACTTTCTTAGTAGACTCGAATTTGTTGGTTGAACTTGATACTTTGCTTTGGTTGTTTACTTTGATAGTTCTTTGGTGGGTAACTCTAGTTGACCTTGCTAGACTTTATTAGTTGAGTCTGATAGTTGTCTTTAGTTGACTTTAAATAGTTTAATTTCTTAGTCGATTTAGATAATTTACTACAATAGGTAGCTTTAATCGTTGACTTTGTTAACTGACTTTAGTTGATTTTGATGATTGACTTTGTTTGATAGTTGACAGTTTACTTTAATAGTTTGCTTTGATAATTTACTTTTGATACTTTAATTTGATAAGTGACCTTGATGGTTGACTTTAATGATTGCCCTCGTTTGAAAGTTAAGTTTATTGACCTTAATAGTTGACTTCGGTAGTTGACTTTAATCGTTGACCTCGATGGTTGACTATAGTTGGTTTTGATATTAGACTTTGATACGTGACTTTGATAGGCGACTTTGATAAGTAACTTTTGTTGACTTTACTTTGTTAGTTGACTTTTGACTTTTTGTTAACTTTGATAGTTGATCTTATTGAATTTGATAGTTGACTCTGTTAGATTACTTTTTTAGTCGACTTTAATAGTTTATTTTATTAGTAACTTGATAGTTGACTTTGATAGTAGATCTTGTTGACT